ATTAAGTCTAAGTTATTAATTGTATTATTGAGTTCTGTAGTTTCTTTTCTTTCTTTTTTAAAAAAAGAATATAACATTTTTTTAATATTTTATTTTTTAGTTGTACACAATACCTTTATTTTGTTTATTTATTTTATTTGGTGTTGAGGATTGAACACAGGGCTTCGTGCATGCTAGGCGAGCGCTCTACCGCTGAGCCACAACCCAAGCCCAGGATATAACATTTTTAAAAGTTTGTTCCACTCCAGATTTCCATGAAAAATTTTTTATGTACCCTTCCAGACATTTTGTGTGTACAACATGCAGACATATATGAAAAAGATACTTTTAACATATTCACAATAACTGAAATAATGGACTTGCATTCATTTGTACTTCATCAGTACCTCTAAGTCCTTTCATTTTGTACTAAATTAGTGTGTTTTTCTTAAACTCCAGAGTTGGATAATGTTAGGGCTTTACAGTCATGTCCCCTAAAGCCCTAACATTAGGGGACATGAGCCCTAACATTAAAAAAGAGATTGGGGGGGTATGTATACATATACATATTAAGTATAGTTACTACAGAATACTAAACCATTAATTCCTTTAAGGAGTAGTTAGCAAGGTTTTACAAGATATATTTTACATTTAAGGTGATTTTTTGTTATTATATACAACATACACACACACACACACACACACATATATAGTTGTTTGGGAGTCAACCAAAAAAATCACCTTAAATGTAAAATATATTTTGTAAAACCTTGCTAAATACTCCCTAAAGGAATTAATGGTTTAGTATTCTGTAGGAACTATGCTTTATTATCTTTCACCTTAATAGTTACTACTTACCAGGTATTATATCTCCGTATCTCATCCCTAAGGGAATATGAGTTCTTTGAGGACTTGTCCATGTCTCGTAATGATCTTGACATATTGAAGGCATTTAATAAATGTGGTTTTGATTAGTGGAGGGAGCATCCAGAGATCTGTTCTGTCCACTATAAACAGAACTCAGAGGAGGTGGGTGCTCATTCACTCATTCATTCATTCCGGGATAGGTAAGGAGTGAGAAGAAGAACTTGGGATCCTGGCAACAGAGTTAGATCTGAAGCGCCAGCGAGAAACCAGTTTGTAGGAACTCAGATGGAATATGAATTTGGGGATGGGTTAGGGGGCACATTTAAGTAATTCTTAAATGTAATTAAGTAATTCTAGGCTTTAGTGTTTTGCAAAGCACTAAATCAGTATGTCTACTCACCAACTGCAGCTGTCAATGTGTAGGCCCCTTAAAAACTTCAAGCGCTAGAATCACATGCAGCTCTTGCTGTCTGTTCTCTCCTTGATAATATACTTCATTTCCCAACAGAGAGGTGCATGGCCTGAAGCCCCTGCTCCTCTACCTGTGCTGGACCCTCCTAAAACAAAAGCACAGGAAGCTGAGCTGTAGCTGACCACCAGGTTCCACTGCCTTCCTGATTTCCTCTCTGGATCCTTCTTTTTTGTTCCCTTCCTTCAGTCTCTTCCTTGTCTGGATATTTACCCTTTGACCCTCTTAGCTAATCCCTCCCCTTCTTTATTGCCCTGTATTATCTTCTTTTACCAGTAATTACAATCAATCAGTTTTTTCATGTTCTCCTTCAGTGAAGGTTGGGGACAATGCAAGTGGAATATGCACCTTTTATTAGGTGATTTGAAGTGCATTCTGGATGAACCTCAAAACTCCCCAAAATTGGAAAACACCTTCCTGATCCATCACTGAAAGGACGAATCATTTTTATATTTTAGGACAATTTCTTATTAAAGTTCTTGGCTCAAGGAGAAGACACGTTAGTTGCTTTTCAGCAAGGAGTAGATCTGTGCCTTTACCATGGCTCGCTGCCGCCCCTGTGACCTCAGGGTGCTGGTAGCCGTTGCATGTGGGCTGCTGACGGCCATCATTTTGGGACTGGGCATCTGGAGGACAGTGATAAGGATCCAGAGAGGTAATGTCACCCTGTTTCGTTTTACTTTGAGAGAGAGAAGGCATGAGTCTCTGTCCCTGACATATGCCACCTGACATAACAATGCTGGAAAGTAGCTTGTCCAGGCTAAGGCTGCCCACCACATTGCCATTTTGAAATACAAGAGTCAATGATGGCCAGCAGGCAGCTGTATATGTATAAATACACACGGTGTGTGAATAGGCAGCATGAAGGATGACACAGTTGAGTTTTTATGCTCTTTTAACTCTTGACTGACTTAAAGAGTAATAATTAAAGTCATTAGTAATACATTTGGATTTGTTTAATTCTACGCAATTAAGGTAAATAGTTATGGGTACTCACAGCCAATCAAACATGGGCAGAATAAAATTTCATTTCAACAAGGATGTTTAGAAATAAACAATAGAGTTGTCAGTAAAATGACCTCAGAGTTTGCATACAGGCTTTCCTCTTTCCTCTTTTTATAGTTAGAAAACAACTAAAAATTAAGATATTAAAATAATTTTCCTGGTTATTCAACATGTAGTTATTAGTCTCCTGGTGTGTACATTGCTAATGTGTGAAATGGCATTAGGAGGGGCAGGAGTGTATGAGACGATGGCGTTAAGGAGAGCCCTCAGAGCTCACAACAATCTCTATGCTGTGCCCAAAAATAAAGAACATTTCTGATGAAACTGAGTAAATAGGGGCAACTAATGCCAGTCAGGAGAGGCAGGAAGAGAGGCCATCTGCCCTCTAAGTAGACTGCTGTAGGACCACAGTGCATGACTGCAAAGGTCCCCAGTGAGAACAAAAGGGGTCAAATACATGGGCTGCAGTTCTCTGGCCCCAAGGAATAATATTTAGAGAATACTGTATTAATATCATTTAGAGAACTAGGAAAAGAATTGATCAGAAAAACATAAGATTTAAACTTGGGGAAAATGTACTTTTGTTTGCTTAAGTTTTGTAAAATAGTTTATTTTAGGTTTTAAAAAATTGTGAACTAGAGATATTTCTCCCTGGTAAGCTTGCTAAATTGAGGAGCTTCATTTAAAGGGTAAATATTTAAGAAGTCTTCTTTTCCTTTATTTATAACATCTAGTTTTAAAGGGAAAAATTGTGGTGATTTTAAAAGGACACAGAATAGAACTAATAAAACAAAGACCAAAGTGCAAAAACAACATGAAGAATAAGGTAGGGAGGGGGATAGATTATATGAAATCCAAAGACTCAGGGGGAGCTGCTTAAAATAAATACAAAATAAGACTAAGACCCCAAAGGAAGAACAGAGTAACAAATGTCCCATTTCTAAAAGCAGAAGCATACTAGCTCCTCATAAAAGACTAAATTTTCCATTGTTCTGAATTTTCCAATTGAATCTTTATATGAAGACATTCCTCAATTTTTTATTAAACCCAGTAGAAAGGGGGAGGGTCATCACTTTTGTTTAAAGAAAAGGATGGAGACTGGTACTATCTGCTGTTGCTGTTTGCCTTGTCCATTTTATTTATTCATAGTGTGTTCGTTCCATTCCACTTCATTTTTTTCCCACTCACTTCCTTCAGTCTATTGCTCCTCTTTCCATCCTATCCCATCCTATTCATCCCATCCCATTCCATCCCATCCCATCTCATCCTATCCCATCCCATCCCACCATCTCATCTCCTATAATTGTTGGATGTTCTTTTGGTTCCTCTACATAGGTATAGAAATATATTGTTTTTAAAATTTTTTAGGGGAATAAAGGTCATGAATATCTCTGAGAAATTCATTTAAACTATGATTGTCTTATTCAGAAAAAATGTACACAAGCATACATGTTAAATTTTGGATAATGTAATTTTACTGCAGTCAAAATTAATTTTGTTAACATAAGCAGATGTATAAATTATGTCTCATTTTTATTTTTCATTAGAAAGTGATAGCTTCTTAGTGAAAAATAGAAAAAAAAATCCTGTCTAATTAAATTTCAATGAGAAGTTACTGTTATTTGGCCATAGGGGACCAACACTAATATGATGATATGCATGCTATTTATGCATTTGACCATTAAAAGACCTATAATATCAAAAATTTTTTCTATATTCTAAGCATTGTGCTGAAAATTTCACATATTTTATATCATTTAATCTCACAACCGCCTTTGGAGTTGATATTATGTTCTATGTTGCAAGTGGGGGAAATTCAGGCTCTTGAGAATATTTCATGCTTACATAGCTGGAAAATGCTAGGTGTGGATTTGAACTTGATCATTTTAACTTTAGTATCTGTGATCTTAACTTTCCTACAGAGAAGACAAGGGTAGACCCGAATCAATTAACTTATTTTTTCTTCTTGAGATAGCAGTGGCTGAAAAACCTAATTCACAAAGACGTGCAGTAAGCAGCAGAATCAGGACAGTCTGTTGTTTTGCTAGGCAAAGTCAGGCTCTTTGGGGAAGTAAGATTGTCTTCAAGTCAATGAGATCTACATTATTAATGCAGTGTATAGAGTGTAGCTTTAGTCATGCTTCAGTTTTAAGGCTTACTGAGTCTTCAGTGGTGTCCATAGATTTTTGGCTGCTGAGTAACTGTCATGGATTTGCCACCTTGTACTAGGATGTGCAAAGTTCTTCCTTCAGCTTCGCTAAGTTATACTTGTCTGCATTGATCTTCTAACCAAGAACCGCAAAAGAGACTGCATTCCTAGCAGTATTCATCCTGATAACTGGCTGCTTTTAATGGAAAGAGTTCTCACATTCACATAGATCCAAACATCTAATACCTATCAAACAAGACATGAAGGAGCTCAACTCTAATCATTCTAAGTGTTAGTTTTCCTAATTATTTCTTAAAATGGATCATTGGTTTAAATATCAAACAAGTACTTCAAGACATAGTCTCTAGGATGCTAGGAATAGAGAAGTATTTTAAAATTCTGTTCCTATTTCCTTATTGATCTCTTGTTAAAACTGCACAGTTTAAGGCTCTGGGTTGACAAAGAAAACAGAATTTCATGGGAATAGGTTAGATTTCTTTCAAGATTATTGGAGAAGTCCATCATTTCTACATGCCACTGATGGAACCATTAAAAAAAAAATAATGATCTTTTTCAACCAAGTGACATGATGAGATATATTGCCAAGTGTAAAATTTTCTCCATCTGTGTTCCCAGGCACAAGATTACCTATCCATTTTCAATGTCTAGACTTGAAGTTCTTCTTTAAAGATGTCCATTTACCTGGAACACTCCTCACCAGAGTTTCACACGAATGGCTCCTTCTCTGATGATTTTAGTCTCATGTTGAGTGTCACCTCCTTCAAGAGATCTTTCCTACCCAACCAGGCTGGTATCACCCTCTTTGCTCTGTTTTACATGTATTTTTGTCATAGCTTTTATCCTGGATAATTTCTTACTTAACTTGTTTACTGGTTAATTGTCTCCCCATTTCTAGAATGAGAGTTCCATGAGAAGGAGGGCCTACTTACTAAACTGCATTCCCTACACCTAGAATAGGACTTGCATGATAGCTGCCCAAACATAATTAATGAGTGAACAGAAGACTCATGTGACAACCAGAAACTGGGCTTAGTCCATTTGGGTTACTGGAACAATAGAAACTTATTTCTTGACGCATGATAAGCAACAGAAATTTATTTCTCACAGTTCTATTGGCTAAGAATTCTTGAGATCAAGTTACTGGGAGAGTCAGTATATGATAAAGGCCTATTTCCTCCTTCAGAGAAGGTGGCTTTTTGCTATATCCTTATATGGTATCAAAGGAAAATTCTATCTGTACAGCCCTTAATGGCATTAATTACATTTGGGCATGGTCTACCCTCATAAACTAATTACCTTTCAAAGTTTCAACTTCTAATACCTTCACATTGGAAAGTTTTAACAAGGGGACACAATATTCAGTCCATAGCATGAAATAAGAATTGTCAAATAGTTAAGAAAGGAAATAACATTACCATCTGTTCCTTATAATGTCTTTTAAAGTATTAAAAGAAATACAATTCTGGACTTTTTAAAGAAAGGTATCACTTTAGTTTTCTTTCTCTACTCCAAGCCATGCACCATATCACCATTTCTAGGACTCTTCGCTTAAGATCTCTCCAATTGGCCTCTTTAGTTTAACCATGTGATCAGCAATGTTGTAGGATGCCTATATATTGGAGCAAATCTAAGTTTTGCCAGATTGCTGGAATTTTCAAATTAGGCATGCTCCACAGAAAAACATCCACCTCGTCTGATGTATTTTCAGAATGGACAAGCCTAAGTGCTCTGTCTCTGTTGGCTTTGTGCTTTCAATAGCAAGAGGCTTGTACCACAAAAAGCAGCATGGGTTTTGGGTTCCATTACATTTGATGATGAAAGTAAAATGAAAATATAATTAGGCTTTATTATATTTCCTTCCTTTGACATTTTCCAACTTGAGCTAAGCCTACTGTAAATATAGACAGATGTTCATAATCACAATGGCAGTGGGGTGTTTTCTTAACCTCTATTAGTAGAGAATGTCTTACCTCAAAACACACTGGCAGTGCTATTACACCTTATTTGACCATATCCACACTGCTCCTGGCCCAAGAACTTCCTGTTCACTTGCGTCTCATTTCCTTCTCTCCAGATAGTCTAACCTTTGTTCCTTGCCACAGAACAGAACATACCTGTTCCTCAGCCTAACAAGAGATTTCAGTAGGTTGAAATAGCCCCAAACTGCAAAGCCAGATTTTATAACACTAATAATTCTTCAGTAGAAAATGTGAGTTGTCAGGAAAGGTCAAGGAGAGTTTATTGTTTCTTAGAAAATAATCTGTCCATGGATACTTGGCTTTCAATTCTCTAGATTTCAGTACTTCCTGTACTGCTAATCTCAGTAATAAATCTAACTCCTGGAGGACAGTTGCATTTGGGGTTTAAAAACACTTCTCTGAAGTGTTTTTTGGATGGAGGAATCTAGGTTTCAGGCCACAGTGGTGTTTCTCAGTCTCAATTCTGCTGTTAAAAATCTCACTTCCAGGGCTGGGGATGTG